AAAGTTTTAATAATCTCATTTGTTCAAATTCAAATATATTTTGTTTTTTTTTCCTTTAGAATTAATTATGCTTTTCTTTGAGTTCTACGAATACAGGTGAGAAGAATTGTGCATATGTTTTTTCACATATTCTTTTTTTTCCTTCTAGTTTATATTTATTTCGATTTTTCTATTTCTGAGTCTTTAGCTTCATAGCTTTTCATTTTTTTTACTTTCTTTATTAGCTTCTTTATATGAGGAAACTAAAGAATCTTCAGAAAATTTTTTGAATTACTTACAGCATTTAGAAAAATTATTTTTTATCTTCTTTAATGAATAACATTGAAAGCTAAAAAGATTTAATACTCATAATTGTTTAAATTTTCAAATTTATTTCCATTTCTTTAATATCTAATTTTATGCTTTTTTCTTCAAACAAAATAAAGTTGTAGATTTGTTTTCCCATACACAACTTTTTATTTTTCTTTTATCTCATATTTATTTTGATTTTTGTATATTTTCTATATTTATAGCTTTATGACTTTTTGTTTTTTTTGTTTTTCGTTTTATATAATTTCTTCATGTGAGAAAATAAAAAATCCACAAAATTTTCTAAGTTACCAATAACAGTCGGAAAACTTATGAAAAATTCGTTTTCCCTTCTTTTGATGAATAACGTTGAGAAAGCTGGAAAGTTTTAAAATTAAAGTTTAATCATCTTAATTATTTTTTTAAATTATACAGTACATATGTTCAATCATATTCTTTAATCATTTTTAAAAAATTCCTACAAGTTTTAAATTATCTTATAATTAATAACAATGGTAAAATAAATATCTTTAAGAGCCGACGCAGTTCTTGTGGCACAAATAATCCTTTATTGTAGTAGTAAATGTTTCGACTCTTGGATTGAGTATATATTCCTCTTCAGTATATATCTCAAATCACCGTAACATAAATTCCATCCGCTCCGTCATTCTTGATAATTTAATCAGTAAACTGATGTGTCAATTCGAATTGAAAAAGTCAATGCTGTAAAAAGAAACCCTATACTGTGTATGTCTTGTAATATAAAATTATAAAGTCAGTATACTGAGCCAACGGATTAAAAAAGTGAATAAATAAATAAATAATCAAATGATTTGATAAGTTGTATAAATATTTTCTAAAAAGATAAATTAGATATTGTGTATAAACTTGAATATCCTCACTAGTCACCCTCAGTCATTCGTTAACATAGAGACTCTCCACACGTTCTTGTCACGTTCGCCCCTTCGTTTATTACTGTGTAAATCTTAATCTAATTTATCTTTTTAAAAGGTATTTATACAACTTATCAAATCATTTGATTATTTATTTATTTATTCACTTTTTTAATCCGTTGATTTAGTATACTGACTTTATAATTTTATATTACAAGACATACATAGTATAGGGTATAAATTTCTTAGTAGTATAAATTTCTTTTACAGCATTAATTGACCTTTTCAATTCAAATTGACACATCAGTTTACTGATTAAATTATCAAGAATGACGGAGCGGATGGAATTTGGAATTTATGTTACGGCGATTTGAGATATATTTACTGAAGAGGACTCAATCCGAAAACGTTTACTACTACAATAAAGGATCATTTGCGTCACAAGAACTTTCGGCTCTTAAAGCATTCGGCATTTATTTTACTATTGTTATTTGTTATATCAGAGCCTAATATTCTCTTCTTATTTTTATCTTATAATTGTCTGTAGAAATATTTCAATAAAAGATTTAATTAAATTTTCTCATAAATAAAGATTGAGATTTAGACAATAAAAGAAATAAAAAGAAACAGTAAAATCTTTAGACTATTCAAACGACATACATACGTAATTTCCTGTCGAAGTCTGAGCTAGTTTTTGGGGCGGAACACGCCGTTGGAAATTAGAACCTGCATAATACGGCATATGCATATGCGCTATTAGGAGGCAGGCACAAGTCCCTTTGTTCTTAAGTCATCGATGCGGATTAGCGGCGTATTCTACATTTATTAGCGGAAGTTTGTAGTGCCCGAAACTCGGCAGCTTCCGACGGCACGGTTAATTTGACATGCCCGGGGAACCTGAGAGGGAATATCTGGGAACGTCTCACGGCTCTCTTATCTCGAAATATCGAAGTGTCGAGTAAATCCGATGTTACAGCGAATTATCCGGGACGTGTGTACGCGTATATCGAAACGATGCAGATCAATATAACTTTGTGTGAGTGGAGTTGATTAGTTCATAATTTGGCAACATGTTTAAGTGACACATTATTTTTTGATAGATTATTTGTAGAAATGCCATAAAATAAATATATACTTTCTTGTTTGAATATTAAACGATGGAAGAAATTTGTCTTAAAAATAAACGTCACGTTTTATATATACAATGTACTGTATACACGGTATTATCTATGTACACAACAACTAAATAAATATATGTATATATATATATATATATAATTATGATCATGTTTTCTATATTCCTTATGTAAATAAAATTTATTTAGTCCTAAAATCTTTAATTTTGGTTCTTTTATTAGAGAATCTTTCATTAAATCATTAAAAATTTACTTCTCAATTCGTTCAACTCTATCTTATCAAAGGCATATGGATTATTGAAAATCCATAAGACAGGATATCTGTCAAAAATAATAATTTCTTCAACGGTAGTCCTCTACATATAACTTAGCTACATTTTTACAGAATATTTTACAAGACGTTTTTCCGAAATCGCCACACAAACAGCAGCTTCGAATTGACTAAAAATTACTTTTCGAATGTACACATTCCGGATAATTACATCAGTTTTGATGTATTACATCTCTTGAGATTACATCTCTTTAGATATAACTTCTCTATTCTGTAGACATGGTTATTAAGTTAGGCGATAATTGGAAGTACCAATTTGGAATCTCATTAGTGAATTAAGTTAGCGAACATATTAAGTTACTAAAAAATGAATTTTTGGAGGATGTCAATTTTGCCTTGAGCATTGAGCGATATTTTTTGTTTAATAATATTTATAAACAAACATTTGGAATTTTTATAAGTTCACTCCTTTGGCCTATCGTAACCGCCGATTTAATGTTACAATTATTAGAATCGCAAACTCTTAAAATTTGTCCTTTAAACCTCTATTTTGTGTTAGGTTGACGATGTGGCATTAGCAGCTTCTAATTCCCACTTGTTAGATGAGTTTATGACTAATACATTTAATTCTCTTCACAAGACTGAAATTTACTATCGAATTAGGTAGGGAGGTCTTGAATTTTTTGGATGTCACTATAATTAAAAGAAACAATTATCGAATTTTCGATTTTGGTACCATAAACCAATGTTCTCAAGGAGGTATTTGAATTTTTTTCTCTGAATATCTTATCATTCACAAAAAAGATATAATGACAAAATATTGTCAAACCTATAATTCAAATTATCCTGTACTCTGTTGTATCCTGAATTTTATGAGAAAAACTTTACATTTTTCATTAACATCTTATTGAATAATGGATAGCCTCTGGACTTTATTTTCTTCAGTATTAAAAAAAAAGATTAATTTCTAAAATTACTTTACTTAATAATCATGATGTTAATCCTCCATTAAAAAGAGTACCAAATCTGAAAATCTATCAATTTCTATATTTTTAATTCTTTTAATGCTTTATTAGAATAAAGATAAAAAATGTATGCCGATAATTTGATATGAATGCATTGAGATTAAATAGGTTAATTTGATATATTTCAGTCTTACTGTATTAACATATTCAATTCATTTCATGTTAAAAATGGTTTATTTATCAGTATTACAAAAATATTCATCATACGAGATAAATGAACATAGTTATGAATTCATTTTGACAGTTGATCGTAATATCTCATAATTGTATTGATATTTTTTTATATGTTCCGATATTAATTGATTATTTAATGTACAAATTTCGTATGAAAGAAAAAATAATTTCTTAGCAAAAATATTATTGTACATTTGTATGATAATCTCGGCGTTATTAACAGGGTCCTCGTAGGATCCACCTCTATCACTTGTCACATCATCGTGTCTGAGCGCGCGAAATGTCAGCTCTATGATTAGCCAATTAGCTTTAATCGCTATTAATTTGAAAACTATTATAGTCTCGACATTTTTGTATTAGGATTTTCGTCTTAGAATATTTTAAAGAATCCGTACTTAAAAGGAAATTCATAGGTTTTGGGATACCCTGTATATTTGATTAAAAAATTATTTAAAATAATTTTTTAATCAAATTTTGCTATTTAACTTTTTCATATAAGTCGTATTTTGAAAACGGTTTTTGCAGTGACTACTGCTGTTTTTACAGGACTTATCTGAAAGCAAAATGCAACGAGTTATATAAAGTTAAAACGTAGATCTAGTTCCCTATAAAGTCATTTAAAATATTGCATTTGAACAATATGACAGCTGGTCAAAGTCAACATAGCGATTTAGCACTTTAAATCTTGCGTTTTTTGGCTGCGAAAAAAAACAAAGCATTGTAAAAAAAATTCTACGTAGGGAACTAGTTTTTAAGGATGTTTAGGATTAATATCAGCTTAGGTACAATATTAGATAAAAGTTTCAAAATTTAAAATTTACAGATTTCTTAGATTCGTATCGTCTAAAAATAAAATAAATAACTTTACATTATATAAGAAGTTAAACTTTCGCGAAATAACATGATTTTTCATGTCTTCAAGAATAGAAATATTTATAAGATCGGAAGAGCACACGTCTGAACTCCAGTCACTT